TAATAATAATAATAATAATAATAATAATAATAATAAAAATAATGATAATATATACATATATATATGTATATATATATATATATATATATGTATATATATATATATATTGCCTGACCTTTATGGTCGCTTAGAAATAAATACCGAAAAATAGTGGCTGTCGCTGCACGTGAGGTATGAATGAGATTAAATACCGGGATTTTGTTAAGTTTGGTTTCTATTTAATCAGGGAGCCTTCCCGATTGCGTCAGAGACTGCTACGCAGTACTATGTTTGCACTGAAAACACTGTATAGCGACAGTGTAGTAATTGTATGGAAACCAAGCTTACATAGTTGCAGGGGTGGTCGCTTATTACAAGAGGTGATCGCATGCAGGCCGACATTCTATCATACTTTAAACATTTTATGCTCATTAATTTCTTTTAATTTTAAGCAACACCAATTAAACTACATCCAATTCTGACCATGTCTTTGTCTACCACTCTGCTCTCCAATTACCCAGCATCAATGTATGCACTTTACATTTAGTTAGCGTGAATATAGTTGTGCTTGGGGCAATCTTGCGATGTTTGCGTACTTATTTTTGTATCAGAAAATAGAAGGGGCCGATATAGGTCAATGAGCGAGAAAAGAATAAATGTCTCGCAAAGAATTTTTGTTTGAATTTATGCTGCTTTTAAAAATTTCTTTCGAGTTAATACGGTTGAGTTAATCAGCTAAGGATTAATCAGCCTTTATTTGATTTTCTCAGGTACGTACTAGCTTAACTTTGAACCCATAACTGTGGAATTTTGAGTTTTGGTCTACAGAACGGCAATGCAGTAGTAGCCCCTAGACATGGGTGTTTTACAACAATTGAGCTTGTTGATTTGGAAAGATGTTAAATTGAGAATTCGAGCACCTGTAAGTTCTATTTTTGTTTATTTCTTGAACAAAATGATAAAAAATAAGATTAAATTATTACATTTTAATATGTAGAAATATAAACCAACTATCCTTAATGTTCAATCTGCTGTAGTTAATTTATATAATACTGCACTCTTTTGTTCCCATTCGATTATTTTTATGCCTATATTATTATCATCACCATCATTATTATCATTATTTGTATTATCATTATGTTACTAAAACCTACCTTAAGGGGAACTTAGACAATGGAGAAATTAGAGAACAATTAGAAAAACGATGTTAAGGGGCGGAAAATAACGTAATGTTAAGGGGAAAATAACACAAAAGATATTCCCCTTAAGCCCGACTTAGCGCAAATATTAGTATCATTCATATAATTATCGCTATTAATATTCTCATATTATTATTATAAAGATATAAAATCATGATCTTTTTGTGTGGCTTAAAAAGTGGAGTTAGTTTAGACGGACAAAAATACATATCTTTGCCGGTGCTTAATTGATATTGTTATTATCAATAATGATTAATATACCGACTTTTAGCAATCTGTAGATGCATTTTTTGAAATTACTGTGGATATTTTGTTTCAGGTTCTGACATTGCTGTCGATTGCATGGCCTATCGCAGTCTTTACAGCAGTTGCAATTATCAGGAATGATTTTCCTCCTGAACAGCATACTAATTGTAAGTTATATTTAATATTTATTATTAATAGATTAAAATATTAGTAGTAATGATTATAATAATAATAATAATAATATTTTTTTAATTTTAATTTAATTTTTAACCATTCTTTATTCAGCAAGAAAAATAATAAATGGACAAAACAATTGACGAAACATTTCTGACTAAACTCTGTCAACTAAACTAAAAATAACATTTGATGTTTAATTTCAACAAGAGAGAGAGTATAAATCTGAGCTTTAAAATTCTAGAAGAGGATTGGGGGTGGGGGTGCGATAGCAGATATACAAGTTCACGTATCTAGTATTTTGTTTTTACAATTATTTATGGTTACATGAGTAGGAATATATTATGTTAATTTCTGTTTTATTTTTTCTTCAGCTTTGAATTATTCAAAATCACAAATGGAAGTAACATATGATGCCGATTATAGAAAAGATAAATTTATTTTAAAAAACCTCATGTTCATAATACCAAAAATACGATGAAATATCGAAAGTTTTTTCACAAAATCACCAATTAGAGTTAATAGTTAGAACTACATTTAAAATGCCTAAAATAATATGTCTGAAATAATGGAAGAAAGTAATCCTAGATTCCCACACTACATCTTCAAAGTTTTTGGACACTACCTCATAAAAAAAATCACTTGCCAAACTTTAGGCAACTTGATCTTTGTCCAATCCGCATTCACGTTTCACGCCTTGTCGTCATAGATACTTGAAATATTATCCGTATGAAAGAGAATCCATTACAAAAGCTTTCGTGATTTTGAATTCAATTTTGAATGTGATAACAATACATATATGACTTAGCAATTTTTTTTTTACACAGTTATGAATGGATGACCTTGTTTTGAGATAGGTCAGGTAAACATTAGAGATTAACATGTTTTGCCAACTACACCGTGTTTTGAGCTAGAATACGGTCAGGAAAATATTGAACTAACATAAAAGTAACAAAAGACAAAAGTAAAATTACAGTTCGGCGCCCGTCAACTTCGGGATCCCTCTAATTCCGAGATCCAAATAATTTTAGACCACATTTTCTAACAAAAATACTAAAAAAAAAAGTCTTCAATCGTTTAACCAAATCTAATATTGTAATTGAAGACTTTTTAGCCAGACCACTAAACTTTTTTTTTTCTCAAATGTGGTCTCGAATTACGCTTTCTTTGATGATTTATATATATAT